TCAATCAGTTTACTTATTGTTTGAGGGTCCCGCTTGTGGCTACACAAGCATTAATATATAAATATATAATTATACATGCATAAACCCCTCGTTTCACCTTGTTGGAACATGTCATATCCTAGATAGCCAGCACTGTTTGAGCTGGGTATACTATCGCATCTAGCTTACAACCAAAATTTGACAAAGCAAGATCTACCCAATACTTGGGTAGTTTTTGGTATGGCTATGATTTTAATATGGTCCGACCCATTTTCGGACAACACCGTGCATTGAATGACCAAACCATATATTGTGCCCCAGGTACCGATGCAAGGTGGCCACTGCAAGTTGGTTTATCATCCACCGAACTATAGAAGATATATTATATATGTCCCATTATGTCCCATAAAATCCATAAAACCTATATAATCATTGCCATTGTAAGCCAACTTTGCTAACTGTGGGTCACCACCAACCATATTATTGGCTATATGGCTATAAACCCATATGATAACCCTATTTTTCGTCGTGATTTATCATGTCGAATCCACAGTTCATGGTCCTTGATGGTATGCATTTAAAGTGACCTGAAGTAACACTATAGTGGCATAGTTGCCCCAATCCGAACCATCAGTGAGGTCGCATGGTCTATAACCATAAGAATCACTGGGAATATGGGTTTAAAGTTGAATGTCCTCATTTTCCTATATGGTTTTCCTATGTTTTTCCTATGGTTTTCCACTGGCATTTCGGGCCAAAAAAAGGCCATCTATCCAGATTTATACCACCAGGTTTCAACACTCGCACCTCGCGCATGGCTTCAGAAATTTCTGAAGCCTGGCTCTGTAAGGCGGTGAAGCGATGAAAAATAGTGGGATTGCATGGGAAATTCAGAATGGTTACTGGGGCATATACTGGGATTCAATAAAACATCGTTACTATGGGATTTGATGTGAAGTTACCAGTTATGGCACTTCATCATGCATTTTTTATGGTAATAAAATTGGGTTTATAGCTAACAATAGATGGAGTTAATTACCAACTGAGATCTTGTAAGTCGGCCAAAACTGTGATGGTAAAAGAGGATACAATGGGATAATATCCGTTCATGTGCTATATGACCATATACACAAAGCTTTCCGGGACTAAATGAAGGGATTATTGCCTGTTTGATCCCACAATGAGTCCGAACTTCACGACGCAACCCTTTTATAGGGGGAACCTGTGTTTCATCTTGATGAATTGGAATAGATCACCAACCTAAAGCAATGGAGAAACATCCTTGATGGTACAGCACAAGAGGATTTCATATTACTCAGATCCTTGATTTGCATTTTCACTGCTATCTTAGGCTCTTAATCATTAATGAAAACCTATTAACACCTATGATCATGATCTGGCAGTGTGTCAAAACCTTGTACCCCTGGTGAACATCAAAATAGCTGGTAAATGGATGTTCATCCCCTAAAAATGGTATTAATAGGTATTGATCCATACCCATCTATTAACCTTTCAAAGCTGTCGCATCACCGTTTTTGCCATCTCTTGGAACCTCCTTCTTTCGTTCAGCAGGACGAAAGTTCCCAGATACCTTGCAGCTTCAGACCGTTTTTTCGCTGGCCATGCTGAACGATACGCGAAAAAACATGGGGAAATACGGGGTTTGTACAATGTGGAGCCCCCGAGTTATAAGTTGGTTTATGAACCCCGGTAACTATAGTTATAAGTTATAAGTACCATAAACAATAGTTATTGGAGTTGTAAATCAACTTAGCTATCTAGGGGGCGCCACATTGTAGTTGGTTGATGATTGAACTGACATGGTGAAAGTGAAAATTAATAGATAAGATAAGATGGTAAGTTGATGATTAATAAAGTTGATGGTCATTTTTTGATTTATAGCTGGATGGTAATTCGGTTCTCATGGGAAGCATCAAAGATGTGAATTCAATGAACAAATAGTAGAAGTACATCAAAATGTCCAGTTGAATGGGTGATATAACCAACAAAAACAGGTTCAAACTCCAACTAATTTATGTATACAATGTCTCAAAAAGCTACCTCCAAGTCCAATGGCTATGAAGAGCTCCTTTCCCCACTACTCATTCATGGCAGCAAACTGGCAATATGCATCATGTTTGAACAAATGCAGATAAAATTCGAAGTGGTCAGTAGATATTGCAACCAAGTATTTCAGCATGCAAGAACTAGATTCATTCTAATCCTAGCTGTTTAGGAATCAATATTCAAGCTGGCTGGACAGGCTAGGAGTATGCAACACCAAGGTTAACCATCGTTCAGGGATAATGTGGGTGTGTTTCATAAATAGGGGCTCCCTCTTAAAATACCAAGCACCTGCCAAAATACCATTGGTTCCTGATTAAAATAAACGAATCTGGTATTTGGAGGTTTCCTAAAATGGGCGTACCCCGAATCATCCAAGTCATTAAATCAGTTTCGTACCGAAATCTATGGTGACTTGGGGATCCCGCAGTTTGAGAAACCCAAATTTCATCTGGTTGATCAATAACGCTCAAGCGCAGCACCCAAAAAAAACCTGGACGTTTTTTGAAGAAACCATCAAAAGTGTGCGACTGTCCTCCATCAAATTTTGATCTGAAGTTTCCCCCCGAGATAGGAGAAATTTGACCAGGAAAAGTCAAGCTGGGATTGCTCCAATCCAGGTAGATGATAGCCTTGCTCGGGGGTTTTTACATAGTCATTGTACCTCCAAAAACTACCCTTTGTTTCCCCCTTTGTATCTGGGGTGTTGGGATAAAGCCGGAAAATTATGATCGGCAAGCTGGTAAATATTACAAATTTACTATAGTTCATGGTGGATATAACTATAGTGAAATCGCTTGATGACCAACAAACTTGACTGGAGGGCACATTGCAAAAGTGAACTCCTAAAAAAACTGTCTCCAATCGTATTGGAATTGCTTTGGCACATCAACCTACTCACCACCAAGCGGAATGATTCCCCCACTGCAGACAAGCTGGGCACCCCAGGTATGTTGTTGTTTTTCCCCACCTGCCAGGTGAGGGTTGTTAGATTTTATGTCAGTTGCCTCCTCCTCCTCCTCCTTCTCCTCCTTCTCCTCCTCCTCCTCCTCCTTCTCCTCCTCCTCCTCCGCCTCCTCCTGCCTCGTCCTCCTCTCCTCCTCCTCCTCGTCCTCCTCGTCGTCCTCGTCGTCCTCGTCGTCCTTGCTCAACTGCGACCCGCGATCCACAGTGTTCTCTGCCGGACCTCAACCACGACCATCCACGCCCAGTGTTCCCTGCCGGACCTCAACCACGACCATCCACGCCCAATGTTCCCTGCAGGACCTCAACCACGACCATCCTCGCCCAGTGTTCCCTGCCGGACCTCAACCACGACCATCCACGCCCAGTGTTCCCTGCCGGACCTCAACCGCGAGTATCCACGCCAAGTGTTCCCTGCCGGACCTCATGTAGGAAGATATGGGACAAAGAATGTGCAGAAGAAAGTTAGAAAGAATGCCAGAAGATATGCCAGAAGATAGAATGCCAGATAGAATGCCAGATAGAATGCCAGAAGATATGCCAGAATAGATATGCCAGATAGAATGCCAGAAGATTTGCCAGATAGAATGCCAGATAGATATGCCAGAAGATATGCCAGAAGATATGCCAGAAGATATGTCAGAATATATGCCAGAAGATATGCCAGATAGAATGCCAGAAGATATGCCAGATAGAATCCAGATAGAATGCCAGAAGATATGCCAGATAGAATGCCAGAAGATATGTCAGATAGAATGCCAGAAGATATGCCAGAAGATATGCCAGATAGAATGCCAGAAGATATGCCAGATAGAATGCCAGATAGAATGCCAGAAGATATGTCAGATAGAATGCCAGAAGATTTGCCAGTAAGAAAATGTATAAATGTCATGGTGGGGATCACACGAAGTAAAGTATTTTTTTAATAAACCACATGCATACTAAAGTTCTATCCCCCATAAGCAAGTAAAAATGTAGCAACTTGGCTATCACAAACGGGATCCCAAGTTTGATCCCAAAGTGGCGTCCAGAATCACTTCCTCGTCTTCATCCTCTTCTTCATCGCATTCTGGGTTCCTCGGGATGGGACGAAGCGTGTTGAACTGACGCAAAGGTCATGTTATATAGTTAAGCAATAGGATCCTTGCCATCCCCAATGTTGCCATCATGGGTGGGATTCCAACCATCAACTTATAAGGCTGGTTTATGACATTGCTTTCCTAGCAGTGCAGCAAATCCTAAAAATAAATCTAAACATATCCAAACATCCCAAGCACTTTTGTGAGTTCAACATCACCCCCAGTTGGTCCAACATCTAAAGGAAAGAGGCGGGGGCACGGCCTTGATCGAACACTTGATATATAATACATATATTTATATATATAATATAATGTGCTACAGAAGTGGACTTACCTTTGAATCTGGCCATATTTTACTTCTGTATTAAACCTCTACTGAGTTTTGGAACAACCTAATGATGTCACACCACCAATCATCATTTGCGGCTAGTGTGAATCACGACGCTTCACACATGGAATTATCCTCCACTACATACAACATATTAACATCATATATACATCATATATATATACATCAATATGCATATATGTATATATACACACAGTCCACACAGTATATTGTATAATCACATGAATGGGTACATAGGGCTGTGAACTATCACCACTCTCGAATCGTCCCGTGCACCAGGGCCAGGGACATCTCCCAGATCGCCGGGGCACATCATGGCATCGATGGTCGCCTGTTTTTGCGCTTCTTCCCTTTCCTTCGCTTGCCTCAGTTGTGCCAGTCAACATCAGTCAACGGTCAAAATTGGTCAAAGATGTCACGCTGGTTTCAACTGCCAAACGAGAAAAGGATTCTGATTTTTAGGGTGTATCCTTTCTTCGGGAATGAATCAACAAGAGCTCTGTCAAAAAACTGAGAAAGAGGGAAAACTGAGAAAGAGGGAAAGTGCAAAATATGTAAACAAAAATATGAAAGTTCACTGGAAATGCCTTTTCATTGCCCGAAAAACATGGAAGTACTCAACGTTTTTTCAAAAACACTGTTCAGTTCCAACGCCCGATTACCAGCAGGATTTACCTTGGGGATGCGTTTCAACTCGACACCCAAAATATGGATCTGTAAATTAGGAATTAGGATCAGCAACCCACGTATTGAAAACAAAGCAAATTTGAAACATTCTAAAAACCACCAACCCACGACATAGTTGCCTACATTTGGGTGATTATGAAGCCATGTTCTTTTCCGGAGATGAACATCTGCTTTTTTTCAATTCCGCAACCATGTCATGTTATAAATAGTTGGTATACAAGGTACTCCCCAGCTATGTTTGTTGGTTCATGTCCACCCGGATAAGTATCTAGATAATGATCTATCAACCACGAACCATAGAAGAACAAAACCGAATTATAAACCAACAGAAACCCGTCAAAAATCGCGTACAACTGCACACGTTTGTTGGATTTATTCTGGTCTAATCATGTTATACCTTAGCTATCTCGGAGGTACCACATTGTATATCCCATGATACTCCATCATATCCCCAATGTAGTTCATATATATATTTGCTGGTTATATCCAGATCTGTGACTCAGGACAATATAAATAGGAGACCATTTTGATATATTATCGGGAACCCTCTTTGAATCAACCAACCAATGGGAAAAGGACATCTTCTACGACTCAGGACACACAACGACACTCCGCCTGCGGCTCACTTTCTCCGCAGCAGACTTCGCAGCAGGTTTCGCTGCAGCCTTCGGTGCCTTGTCCTCACAAACACAGGGTACAAAAATTCCAACAATTTTATATACATGGATTTACATACAAGGTGTATAGAAAGTCAAACATGTTCGTTCGGTGTGTAATATTTGTAATATGTATATCTGATTTTGCTTTCCAGTATGCATTTTCATATATTATATATACATATGAATGGAACCATTCATAAAGCGTGGTTCAGCAGATAACGACATCTGGGAGCTGAGCTACATCCATCAATGGGGATCTTCGGCAACACAGGGCTCATTCATGGAGCACCTGGATTCATCCAGGATATGATCCAAATGACACAATGCTAAGCATATTATCATATGTTATCAGATAATATATGATACAGTATATTCATCAAGCATATTATCATATAGTATCATTTATTATCCAGTATATTCACATGAATGCTTGAAGATGACACAATATGGATTCTCTAATGACGCAAAAAAAAAGAGCATATTATCAATTATTGTCAATGACAATTACCATAAATTGCATATAAATGATCATATCCTGTGTAGTAGATTTCCCAAATGATGGATTTACCAATGACACAAAAAGCGAAATATCAGAGCGGCCACCAAAATTCACCAAAACTGTGCCATGTTCTTTGCAAATTTTGATGGTGTTCTTCCTTCCTGTGATTCAACATGATTCAACATGATTCAACATGATTTAACATGATTTAACATAGCTGTGTAAAATGGATTCCAATGGCCCGTTTATAGATGATTTACCATTAATTTACCTATTGAACATCATGATTGTCCATAGCCAAAAAGAGTGTATAACCATGTATAACCATGTATAACCCCTCATTATTTTGGGGCTTAAGATCATCAAGATCTCAACATATGATCAACAATCTGGTGTTGCTACAGTTGCGCTAGGTCTCGGTGCTCAAGTTCCTTTTCCGGATCCACCGAGATCCGGTTAGAGTGCCGTTTAAAACAAACATCCAAGAGCTGGGTGCCAGAGATAGCCCATTGAAAACAAAAAACATCACTGGTTGGTGGTGCAATAACCATATAAAGAAAAATATGAGTTCGTCAATGGGAAGGATGACATCCCATATATGAAATGGAAAATAAAATTCATGTTTGAAACCACCAAACAGATAAACTATATAGATATTTAGCACTGAACCCTAAACCGATACAGGATTTTTTTGAACATGAAAAACTAAGATCGTGGCAAATCCGACTATGATAGTACAACATGGCCATCGAACATATTACGATTGATGGGAAACTATGGGATAATCATTCAAGTAAATGGGTAATGTTCCATGGCCAGATGGAACCAAAATCTGGAGGGGTAATCCAGGGCAACCGTAAACATCAACATACATCAACCATATACACCAACATCAACATCAACCAACATCAATCCACTAAGATAATGATACATCCAACTATAACCAACTAGAAAAAAGTTCTGGATCAGTTTCAGGAAGTCAAGACTATATCGAAGCCATCGAGAAGGCCACCGAAAACACCCCCAATGTCCACGCCTTCTCAGGAGCGGCCTTTGGAGCTGGCGCCGACTTGGCCTTGGCCTTGGCATCGGCACCTTTCTTTGGCGCCATGGCGATGGTTTTTCAGAGTGCGGGTATCGTTGGCCCGATGGGTGTATAACTGAAGAGCTAAAATGACCATGGTTGTTCCCACCAAAAAAGTGGCTATCAGACTGCTATTATTCACCAAGGGCTTTTCAGCAGTGGATGTCAGATTGATCAGTTTGTGGAGATGTTTCACGCTGGTAAACCACTGAAAAGCTACCTTTGTTGTGCCTTACATTGTCAGGTTGGGTTATGGTTAGCCCAGGTATGGTACCTGCTGGGGCACATCTGGTAGCTGCAACACATCGCTGCTTTGGTCTCGACCATACTTGATCAGCTGACAGCGGACCTGGAGGTTCATCCCACTCATCTAACCCTAGTATATATGCGGGGTTCTCAAATGGGGAATCCCCAGTCGTCACCATGGGCAATACGAGTCGTATTAAGGTCATCCAGGACGACTGGGGCTGACTTGGGGTGCTCGAAAATGATTGTTCGGAACATCCCTATATGGGATAGCCCCACTTAGTACCCACCAAGCTAAAACCCGATGTCCTCACGCTCACGGGTTTTCTCCACGGATGAAGCTCCCTGCTGGTGAAGCGTGGATGAAGCTAAATTGCCACATAGCAACATATGGCTTGTACAATGAAACCCTTTGATTGGACTTGAATCCACGTGAAACATCTGAAGTGTGATCTTGATGATCTCCATTTCTACCACCATTTTCTGGCACATGCTGTTCGAATGAAACATCGAATTCGAAAATAAATTTTAGTTGATATAGCGACTGGTGGCTATACTGACATCCTCAGTTGCTCCAATTTATCCCTCTGCATCCGCACTGCATCGCAGAGATTTTTCTCCTTTCGCAGTGGCATCCAGGTCCTTTCATCTCGTCCTCCTCACATCTCGAGGCGATCGCAGTTCACCGCCGCCATCGTGTGCCGTGCCGTCCACGCCGTTGCAGCTACTTGGGGATCAGCTGGGCAGAAGCTGGGAGGGACCGGCCCAGAGGTTGGGGATGTAGCGAGTGGTCTGCCATAACCTCGGCGAGATTGGACCAGATTGGACCGAATCGACGTGTGTGATGGTGATGACAGTCAAAGCCCTTATTGCATGTTATTTCTATGGTTATAAATAGGCTTATTTTTTCCACAAATAGGTTATAACATGTTATAACATGACATGTTACAGTACAGCTTACTTAGAACTGGGAAAGGGCAGCAATTGTGATGACACAACTTTCACCTTCCAGCTTCAGAGCCCATCCCAATCCAATGCCATAAGAATTCCCCAAGAAGTGGGATGTCATATGATTTCACAGAAAAATGGGGTTTATATAAACAATGCCATAAACCACCCCATGTTTGATGGTTTATACAACCCATAAAAATGGATATTGATGGTGAAATTCGGGATGGTTTATCACAGTGTTACCACATTACTCTATGTACCCTCTGGTAAACTAACATAATTAGCTATTGAAAATTGCCATTTATAGTGAATTTCCCCATTAAAAATGGTGATTTTCCATAGTTACGTTAGTTTATCTGAGGGTAATTTGACCATCCACCACCAGGTCTGGCTCCAACAACCCCGGTGCCTTCGCCAGCGCACGCAGCGCAGCAGGGACCTCTGGGTGACTTGCTCCACGTAGCGCAGGCGCCCCAGCAGCAGCCGCAAGGCACTGGCGAAGAGCTGCCTCGACGCCGGCTTCGCGCTTCGCCACGGCCGTGAAAGACGTGGGAAATGAGAAAAAAACGATGGGGAAAAAAACGTGGGGATATTCTATGAGGAAATCATCTGAAAAAGAATGAGACACATTACTAGTTATGATATTATTGGAAAATAGATGGGATATGAGTGCGATATTTGATGGGATATAGCTAACAATACTTGGTGTTTCCGTCCAGTCAAAAAATGCCTGGTAAAATCATTGCGCTAAGTCCACTTGAAACTGGGGTGAACTAACCTATCCTTACTAGCTGGGATGCACCACCACCAAACAAAATACTCATTTTTTTTGTGGTCTTTTAATTGCCGTTTTTGGAAGGACTACAATGTGGACCCTCCAACTAAACATGACCAGCATTAGTGGGGATTCGATAAGGATTTATGTATTTGCCCTAGTGACACAAGTGGGGGGGGGCCCAAAGAAGACAAGTCTCTGTTGGTTTATTTCACTACATATTATGTATCTACATTTGAATGGGTTTATATGGGTTTATAAAACCGGTCCACATTGTGAATTTTATGGTCTAAATACATTTCTTCTGGGTCCATTGAGGGTCCACATGATAGCTGCTGGTGCAGCCATGGGGGATTCACCCATCAGAACCGATGTCATGTCACCAAGCCCTGCGGCGGTCTTACAAGCCATCTCCAAAACAAGTGGCTTCCCACGAGTACTTGGAGGATCGTCCCATTTAATTATCCCACAAATGGTAAGTAGTTAATAACCATGGTTTTTTAAAACTTACAACCCATCTCCACATGAAAATACGGATACTTTTGAGTTTTGAGACTTCTTTTCACGAAAACCTATCAACTAGTCACTACTGTGGAATGATCCTCCCAGATGGGGCCAAGATACGCGTCCACCGCCGTAAAGTTGTCGATCTTTTGGAGTAGATCCTAGCTGAGTTGGTGATTGGCGGCACCGCCCTTAGCATTTGACCATTGGTATCAGCAGATTGTTGAAGTGGTTCACTTCCAGGTATCTAATTGCGTAAACTCAAATATTCATAGAGCCTCAATATACCTCAATAATCCTCTATTTACCCACAAGAATTGATACTGACCCCAGACATGTCAGTACTTCTGGCTGAAAACTTTTATGGCTCAGGGTCATGCTAATCCAATGATTTGCCATCCACGCCTGCAACGTGTGCTCTTATAAGTTGGTTTACGCTATGTAGTATATATATATATATAATTATATATATATATATATGTATGTAGGTATATATCTTTTTTTCCTCGGCCCTTTGAGAAATCCTCGCGGCGAGCATGCTGGCGACTTCAGCCGGTTGGCTGATAGTCAGGCTTCATTGTCTTTCCGGGATCCACCCTGGAAGACAAAAGCGCCAATTCAGTGGCAAAATCATTGGGCAAAATTCCGTCACTTCGGAGCGGAAGGCCCGAAATATGCCTCCATACGGCATGGGCAAAGCACTCGCACAAATTGTCAGGGTACTCTTTGGCCACCGTCGTGCGAAAGAGGCCGTCATGGCCTTTGCCGATCAGGGTCTGCGTAGGGCGTTCCACTGACTTCAGTGCGAGCTCGTCCAAAACCTTCGGGATGGAGTTATTGGCGAAAAACAGGGACGTCGGCTTGACGCCTTGCGCGCCATGTTTCCATTGCTGAAATGAATGCCGCTTGAACAACCAGCCTTCTCGCAGGAGCAAAGTAATGATACCCGTGCGGAAGATCGATGGGCGATCAGCCTGCACTGGCGGCGCAGGATGCTCAAGGATAACAGCACCTCCGCTAAGTGCTATCGGCACACAAAGCCACAGGCCGCGCAAAAGAAGGCATGTTCCTACCGAAAGCTGCCGCAGTTCTCGCATGGAAAGGCCCTCTACACCCCAGCATTGATCAGCAAGCCGAAGCGGGCGAGGTCCTTGGATAGGGTGTCCTTCAGCATCTTCAATGACCTCATGTCGGGCACTGCTCCATGTCTCACAGGGTGGGCCCAAGAGGAAACCCAATATCCTGCCCGCTTTTGCAGCAGCTAAAAGCCAGGACCAGAGCTTTGGTGAGTGCACGTTCATCACCTCATCGATGGCAGTATCCAAGGAAATCACTGTGACAGATGCGGCCCATGCCTGCTTACTCCCTTGCAAGAGGGTATGCATGTGATAATGAAAGTCTCGGTCTCGGCGGCGACCAGCGTAGAGATGGACGATGTAGTAGGGACCCTGCTCAGGGGTCAGACTCCGCTTAGGCCTACGATCGATCCTCCACTGTCTGCGCTCGAGCTCTTCCTTTACCATGTTGGCATAGTCCGTCTCGATGAGATGCTGACGTGCTCGTCGTGCTTGTGGATGGTTTCGGATTGGTCGCGGAGCAATATCGTCGGCTTGTTCCAAGTGGCAGAGTTGGGCTGCTAATTCCTTGTAACGAAGCCTCAATGTCCAAGGGCGCAAATCTTCAAGCACAGACATGTACGCCGTCTCCAAGAGCTGCATGTATTGAACTTGATCGTCCTCAGGGACAAAATCTGTGAGCTCATTCTCAATCCAAAAAATAAAGAGGCGCGCTGCTTTCATGTCCTCGATATTCATGGAGAGCATGCAGTCGAAGAAAATGTTGTGAAAATCCACTTCGGTGGGGACTTTCAAGGCAAACCAATCGTTGAGGGCGGTCCAAAAAAGCGCAATGCTCTGATTCTTCAACTGGGTCTCCTTGTCAGGATCCCACCAGGCAAAGTCTGCGTCCCCCTCATTCTGTAATTTCGCTATCTCTGCTCGAAGGCGTTGGATGGAACGTTGCCGAGCTGTTGGTCGTAGTGGGCCATGATGTTTCCTTACCGCAGGAAGGCGGCAAACTCCAGCAAGATGTGGAGGCAGCTGAACCTGTGCAGGCTCATCTTTGCCACGTGCATCCTTGATGCGATCCCAGCAAAGGTTGCCTCGGTATCGCAAATGTTGAAGGACACGAAAAGTCGTATGGAAGGTGCGTAGGCATCCTGGACAGACTTCGGACTGCACGTAGTAGCTCTCCTCAGCTCGTACCTGATGAAGTCGGAAAGCATGAACAGCTAGTTGCTGTGCCGTAGGAAAAGTGCATGAGCAGTGTGCACACCCAAATTGCTGCATGGCCGGCATCTCAGCTGGTGATGCCTCGATTAGAGTCATGCCAGCTTCTGCAAGCTCTTCTCGAATGCACTCATGATAGTGCCTGACCTCGTATGCAATCTTTTCCTGCTCAACATGCTTCCGAACAGCACGATGTACCCATCTTGGCCAACTTTTGCAATCTCTCAGAGCCTGCCATGCTGTGATCCATCCTTCTCGGCAAGTGGGAATGGAAAAGGGCAAGGTGCAGAATCTGGAAAGCCAGGCAAGATCTTCCGCAACTTCAAAGAGCCAACCTCTCCTTTGTTCATATTCACTCAAAAGCAAAGTCTTGTGGAAGGTGAGGCAATGGTGTGCTAAATGATGCAAATAACACAGTCTGTGTTTGGCCCAGAAAATACGAAATGTCGCCAAGCTATGGCATTGCATGAAGTCTTTGTCGGTCATGTTGATCTCGTTCCAGTATCCAACATTGCAAATTTTGCGGTAAAATTTTACAAAGGTGGCATCCAATTGTCTGTAAGTTGTGGCAGACAGCTCTGCCCAGGCGGCACATCCGTACAGTAATCTCGACAGCACCAAGCTCTGGAAAAGGGTCAAACGCCCTTGAACTGGGATGGCCTTGTTGAGAAAGACTGGTGATTTGAGCTGCTCAAACGCCTGTCTGGCAGCTCCAAGCCTCGCTCTGATTTCCTTGTCATAGTCCAGGTCCATGGCAAACCGAACGCCAAGGTGCTTGTACCCTGACGCTACCCGCATTGTGAGAATGTGGGAATTCGTCGCAGTGGTGATGAAGGGAGTCTGGTCAATGTCAAACAAAGCAGTACGACAATGATTTGCACCTTGTCCACGATACATCACCACTATCTCGGATTTGCCTCGATCGAGATTGAGGGTGAGTCCTCGGCTTCTGAATGCAGAGTGAACCGCTCGAATCGTGTCCTGAATCAATGGCTCCATGCGGGGTGCCGATGTTGTGGTGAGCGAGATTGCGACATCGTCGACCCATGCAATGGGTGGCACAAAGGTCCCAAGCGCCGTCGCTCCTTCAACAAAGTCATCAAGCTGCATGAGAGAGTCGTGCAATTCTCGTAGCAACGAAGCCATCATCAGGTTGAAACCAATGTCAGCCAAGGGTGATCCTGGTCGAGTCCCTCTTTTGGTGTGCGTGCATTCGTTGTGGGCCGTCGGTCCTTCACCAAGACAAAACCATGTGTGCTGATGGATATCATGTAGAAGGGTGCGCAGCCCTGGTGGGATGTCAGTGACCTCCTCAGCACAAAGAGCATCAAGATGCTGAACCATTTCTGGAATGTCAAACTCATTCTCATCCAGGATGGTTTTCAGGACATCGTACAGGAGTTGATTAGTAGTTGAGAAAATCAGTTCCCGCAGCATGTGGTGGAACGCTGCTTTCAAGTCCAAGAAGATGGTAGCACTTGTGAGATGCTTTTGTTGAGCTACCTGTGCGTGGAGTCTGATGGCTTGGACTCCTGTGATTGTCTGCTGGGATGGGAGTCCACCGAGTTGGCCTATGGTTTTGCGAGACTTCAAAGTTGGTAGAAGTCTGCCTCTTGTCCATGCATGCATCACCTTTGCAAACGTATTGGACAAGAGAATACCCCGGTATCCATCAGCAGCATCAGGATCTCCTCGTCCTTTGTATAGTGCGCAGAGTCGACCACCTTTGTAGTCATATGGCTCCATGCCGTAGACCAACGCTTTGCACACGATGCTGTGGATGTGCGGTGCGACAGACACTGCTCCATGTCTGCACAGGTCAGGCGGGATCATGTCTGGCCCTGCCGCCTTTCTTGGGCGTTGCCGCAGACATAGATTTTTAATCTCGACAAGTGTTGGTAATTCACCAAGCTGTAAACGTCTGATTTGAGGTTGATCTTGTTGTTCTTGCAGGTTGCGTGAAAAGCAATGATGCTGCAAGGTAGCAGGATCAGTGCGGCATCCAGCTTCCAGGGCTTCAAAGTGGCATTGGAGTGCATCATCAATGTCGCGCTTCACCTGCTTGGTCTTTGTTCGGTTTTTTGGCAGAAGGGCTCGAAGGCGTTGCCAGAGTCCATTCATACCTTCAACTGTGTAGATATTGGTAGTGTCAGCAGCAATGGCCTGATAGTATTCACTGTCTTGTTGACGAATCGCTGTTTGGGCTTCAGCGGCTGCTCTTGTCAGGTCATGCTGCGTCTTTGCAAAGGCATGATCATGAAGGCGACACCACGCAGGGAGTGTGGCGATAACATCGTTGACCACTCCATCATCAAATCTGCAGGCTTTCCATCCATGAAAACATGCATGCAATGTTGTGTGACGCAAAGTGCGTTTCAAGCTTCGTAGTTGTTTGAACAGCTGCTTTTTGCGATCAACCAGTGCCCAGGTTTCTTGGGTGATGTGTGATTTTCTCCTCCACTGTGTTTTCGGTTGGGCCAGTGATTGAACAACCTGTTGAGTGGAGCGAGCCAGAATCGAGGCACTGGTATGAGGATCAACATTCCAGCTGGGCGTGACCATAGCCTGATGCAGATAGTGCCTATTGTGGGCTTCTTCAAGGTTGTGCGCCAAGTCTTGAACATCTGGTTGCAGGCGTCGCTGTGTTCGCTGACTGGGTAAGCTTGGGACTTGAAGAACTAAACTGCATAAAGCTGCCTTGTGGTCGCATCTGGAAATAGACAAGTCAATCTCGTTCTCAGTCCAGGCCTGCACATGTTCGTAATGAAGATGTTGTGGGATTGCAACATAGTCAATTCGAACTTCATGTCCAGTTGGGGATGTGAAAGTAGAGACATCAACTCCACGCTGAGTGTGCTCAAATGTGGACGGAA